TGCTAAGATTTATATATACACATAATCCATACTAGTTAATCAGTGTGAACAATCAATAATCGAAACGACAGTGTTTTTCTATTTGCTCCTGCACTTTTTTTAAAACTAATAAAACAATTTACTTGAAATTGCTATTATTAAACAGATCGTTAAATAATATGACATGCTATTTTTTGTATTAAAATTGTACAGTTTAGGCGATACATGAAATCATTAAGTTGAAAACTTAACCAGTAGTATTTTCGTAAAAAAACTTAATAGTATACGCTTTATCTAGAGCGCATACTATATTTTTACTAAAAAGTATTTTTAGCTGAGATGAGTGAATTTTTATTGGGTATACACTAAGTTGCAAAATGATAAATGGATGTACTTCCGTATTCCCTACAAAGTACCACTTTGTCTTAGCTTTTGCTGTTCCTGATGTGCCTCAGCAGGCAGTCTATGTAGATTGGGTTTTATTACAACTTAAAATAGAAGAAAAAAATGCTTGAGGAGTGTTTTTTGAACAAATAAATTAGATCNAAAATGCTTGAGGAGTGTTTTTTGAACAAATAAATTAGATCTTAGTAGTGAAATACACTACAAAATAAAAGTAAAATGAATTAGAAAATTATACCTGTCCATCAGTGCAATTTTTTACTCTAAAACTTTAGGTGAAATTTTGAAATACAATTAGTATAAGTAATAATGATTAACTAACTTGAATATTACAGCAGAAAAAAAGAGTTATAGCTTAAATATTGCTTATGTATAGAGTATTCATTTAAAGACCTCGGACTTAACAATAACCAGGTTTACACTTTTATCAATAAATAATGAGAATTGCACTATTGTTTTACTTATGATTAAGCTTTCATATTTTTTCAAATCGAATATTTTTGTTCATACTTCAAATTAACAAAACAATTTTGTTTGTCGAATTCTAAATTATTTGGCGATTGTATACGTTCAAGTGTAATCTTTTGAAACAAAATAAATTTCAAGAAGTAAATAGACCTGATTTTATTAGGGAAAATAGTTTACTTTATTATATAGTATGAGTTAACTATGTTAGATAATATGATGATTATGTAAAATATATACACGAAATAGGTGAAGGGTTTACTATACATTTATCTTTTGTTGCGTTATAATAATTTCGAAGTCTTGAAATGAAATACGCCAATGGCCAATGATATACGATTACCGAATTTTAGTATGATAAACGTAGTTTAAAACTCCTGTTTGAAATTTAACAAATGACAAAGAAAGAAGTTTCCGGCCTTAACATTAAAAATAATTATATTTTAAACCAGAAGACAATAAAATTAATTGAGTAAACGTCGTTTATAAACACTACAAGTAGCAAAAGAAATGAAAAAAAGTTTTTAATGTATTGATTAATGAATATTAGGCATCTTAAAAAACAATATTTTTGAATAAATCTGTCTAGTTTCTTCAATGACCACAGGCAGATACCTAATGGCCTATCATTTAAGTCTATTTACTATACATTAACATGCATAAAAGTATTATTTTAAAGTTATTGCGTAAACATATTCGTAGTGTATCATAGTTGAAAATATTCGTTATAAATATATCACATATCCGTTACTTAAAGTAAAGAACTATTGAAATTATAAAATGAATTATAAGCTACAGCTTATAATGAAGTGTAATCAAAATTATAATATTTTTTATAAACAAAAAACAAATATTATAGTCATGAAATTTTACTTTAAATATTTATTTAAAAAATCTTAGGAAAATATTAAAATAGTCGAATTAAAATTAGATCATACACTTGTTTTCCAGTAGTTTATTGAGACCCACACTGAATAGGATGTGAATAGTTGTGTTGACCTCATAGGGATATATCTCATATACCCATATACTATGTATCCAATTAAAGTTTGCTGAATAAACGCACAAATTATATACAATATACACAAATATCCTGAAAATATAAAGTATATATATTTTACTAACTATAAGGTATATCCCAAGTTATTTGGTAAAATAATAATGAAATGGAAGTTACTTTTTGTATTATTAGCGACATGGCTATTTTATTAAGGTTTTTATTAAAATACAATAAGTTTCCAAGTACAGTGTTTTTTTACAAGGATTCATGTTTTCCGCTGTTGAAATTGACATTTAGTAACCTATCCGATAACTAATATAACACATGAACTACTTCAGAGCTTGATAGTATCTGAAATGTTAATATTATAGCACTTAAAAATAACAGTTATTTTATGGCCCAATATTGATTGTATCATCGTGCAAAAGCTTTTTACAGATATAATAGGTCTTATATACTTTAATGATTGTTGATCGTTCTTGAGATTTGCGGGTTCAGGACAAAAATTCTTAAAATCAATTGCGTAGGCCAAAAATGTTTTCGTTGTACTTTGATTTTCTAGTCTTATTATTTTCCTAGTAAAATTTTAGTTTACTTGACATTAGATTTTTATGATCGTAACAAAATAATACTAATTTAATGACCTCATCAAGGTTATCGATTATATACTGATGTATAAATATTTAGGTAATATTCAAAACTTGTTCATATATTTTTGANATGATCGTAACAAAATAATACTAATTTAATGACCTCATCAAGGTTATCGATTATATACTGATGTATAAATATTTAGGTAATATTCATAACCTGTTCATATATTTTTGAGCAATTACTAAAAGGTAAAGAATATATCTAAATGTTGAAAATGTCGTTTAATACTATTGTTTTTTTCATTTGCTCATTGGTTATTTGTAGTATTAGCGGTCGTTCTTTACGTGAGTATATATATACTTTTTTGTTTATTTAAGTAATAAAAATTTGAGTGCAAAATTAATTTTATGTATAATTTAGCTTCTTTCATAAAAGCATGTCGGCGAAATGATGCCAATATTAATAATTGCATAAAAAATATGTTGGAGACCCTTAGACCGTATGCTGTAAATGGTATACCGGAAATGCACGTTCCTCCTCTGGACCCAATATCTATTCCCTTGATTACTCTAAATCAAGGAACTAATTCAGTAAATTTTAAAGCCGTATTTACTAATTTGAAGGGTTACGGGGGAAAAGACTTCCAGACAAAAAACGTAAGGTAAGTACTAGAAGTAAAATATTTCAACTATTACTTTAATTACATTTTTTTAATTAATAAAATACATAGTAGTGTTATTCAAAAGACTATTTATTTAATTAACTATAATCTAACATTTTAAATTTAAAATAATTTTGTTTACTGAAAAACGATATTTCTTTGACGATATTAATTTATTAAGGTTTCGCATATAAATTTTTACATCCCGTTGTCGAATCAATGAACGGATACTCATAAAATTCTTATATTACAGTTATTAAAATAAATAATTTTGTGACATTATAACTGTGGAAATTCGTCTGGTCAAGTTATTTGATTATTCTCTGGTAAGGGTCTAAAATATTAGGTCAGGCAATGATCTATCGGTTCATAGTTTCACCTATGTAGAGAACAAAGTTTTCTAAAATTATTTAAATTTTGAGGGGATAAGATTATTTAGCAAATTTAAACTATACTAATGTTTGAACACAAATAAATATATAAATATATTTTTAACTAAGCAGTAGAAATAGATATAATTGAATAAATCGATGCTCTAGGGTAAAGTAACTAGTTACTTTTGTTTACAGATTTCTTGAAGTTGCGTAGAATCAAATAGATTATTAATTGTATCACTAATGAGAAATTAAAAGTTTTATTTTTTTCAAATATTAAGAATACATCAAAAGTGAAACATTTTTTTTCAGGATTTAACAATGTGTGTTTTAAATTAATTAATTTCTTGATATAATAAGGTGTTCATGACTTCTTTTAGTCATCGGCTCATTATATCACATTAATTGTGGTATCAATATAATTGAACGATTGTCTAACTGTTAAAACTACAAAAAATGTGCCTCAAATCTTTCGAATAAAGTTATCAAATAACACTTGATATCAAATTTGATATTCATATTCAAATTTAGTAGGCGGCCTACTTAGTCAGGAATGTGTTGTGCTTCAGTGTGTAGATACTTGACTTGGTTTCATATTGAGCTGAGCCATGTAGCTTATCCCGTTTTTTCTAACACATGCGTAGTTTTTCAGAGAGGACGTTAAAGATAAATGCAATAATTATAAATTTGGAACTAAAAACTTGAATTATTGCTTCAAAGTTATATAATCTTATTTAAAACGCAATGATAAAATTATTATCTGGTTAATTTTTTAACCCCAGTAACACCAAGTTTAATCTCTTAACTATAATCTAATTCGCGGAAAAAATTTTGGAGAAAGATCTAGATCAAATATATATCCCTGAATTTGTGTTTGGCTTTGAGCATGTCTGAAAGTGAATGGTACTGAGGATAGGAATAATTGTTCTTTAGTGTTTTCATAGAGAGTATATTCACTATAAAATAACCACAGATATAAGAACAATAGACTAAAAATGATAGACTTATAACTTCCATTGACATATAGAGTACTTAGAATATTTTCTGGTTTATTCAGTTATTCGTCTATGAATATTCCGTTAGTAGATCCTTATTGAAGGACTCTAAATAAAAACAAGATTACTCCATCTTTCAGGAAAAAATATAACTAAGATTAATAACATGTATCCCTTATTTACCAGAAAAAGTAATATTATTCATGCTATTTCTTCTATTTTTTTCTTGAGTCGACGAATTCGTCATTTTTATCTTAATTGAAAACCGTTAATATCTGATTAAAAAAAAAAGATTACCTTGTTTTTGCACAGATGCAATTTAATATATATTGGGAACCTAAACTTTCATTAATTGAAATAAAATTGTTTTATCAATTAATATTATTTTAGTGCTTTTCATTTTTGTAGCATAGAATTTTTAAAACCCAATCTAATAAAACTAAAATTATTAATATTTGCTTTATGTCATTATATAATAAAGTAATATGTTTAATATCTATTGTAAATATTGACTGTTTTAGGATAAATTTGAAAGAAAATACTTTTGATGTAGACTTGTTTTTTCCAAATTTCCAAATAGACTCTAAATATGAAATTAATGGTAAAATTTTAATGTTGCCTATTAAAGGCAATGGATTGTTCGTTGGAAATTTCTGTAAGATTATTTCATTCGTTTAGAATACTTAGGATATTAAAAGTACGTTTATTTATTTTAGCAAATATTGATACATCGCTAAGGATAGTATTGAAAACTGAAAAGAGAAAAAATGGTAAACTTCACTATGACTTCAAAGAAAAAAATATTAATTTAAATATAGGCAATGCTAAAATTAATTTCAGTAATTTATTCAACGGAAATAAAGAAATGAGTGAGTTTTTATATAAAAATAAGGGTTAATTGGATTTTATAATCTTAATTTATGAATGAACCTTTAAGTTAATAATAGGGTCCAGATGTCAATCCGACTATTTTCTGGAGTCTCGCAAATCCTACTAAAATCTAAAGTTACAGGGAATGAGCGCATTTGTATTAGATCTGTGAGGCTTCAGTCCGTATAGATACAATTATAACCCTCACAAGAAATTAAAATTTGTGAGGAGATAAAGAAAATGGGTTGAGTTCCCCCCAAAAAAATATTATTGAGATTTTGAAATATTAGAGTACTCATAGTAGATTTGGGACTGTAGCATCATAGATAAATTTTTCAATTTGTGCCCATTTTATAGGGCCGTATTTAAGGGGTGGCTTGAAGGAGCAAAAGCTCAATAAAATATTATCTACAAATATTTTCATTCCGTGGGTGATTATAATTTGCTAATTTTTTATTTCTAATATTATTTGTTATAACTTGTTTTTGAAGCAATAATATAAAATTAGCCACAAGTAATCAATTTTTATCATTTTTATCATTATACTTTTTAGGTAACAACGTTAATCGTTTTATAAATGAAAATTGGAGATCTCTATTGCAAGAAACAAAACCTCTTTTCGAAGATACAGTATTGGCAATGTTCGTGAATATTTATAAACCAGTGTTCGACATGTATTCAATAGATGAACTATTTCCAGTTTAGATCATTTAAGTTACATAGACAATAAATTTAAAAAAAAATAGCTGAATCGCTAAATTATTAAAAGACTAAATACATTTTTTATTTATTTATAGAATTTTTTTTATATAATATTTAGAACATATTAAGTTGAATTTGATATGATATATTATTAAGTTGAAAGATTTATATGGCAACATATATCATATTTGTAAATTATGCATAGATAATAATTAATTTTTAAACATTTTTGTCATCTATAAAAATTTTTTTGAAATTTTTATTTTGGTTTTCATCGTAAAACTGTCATTATTTGTAAATTATTCATCAATATTATATATTTATATTATTATAATCATATAATTTAGACCTATTGATTTACAATTATACATTGAGCTGAAGCACACTTTTTTTTTTATTGTAATTAGTAGTGTCTAATTTATAACATGTTCCTTAGCTAATTTAGGAACATTTTCTTTTAATAATTTTAATATAGTTTTCAGATATACTACTTTGTAAAATATGTCAAACATATTCATTTCTAAACGATACTATAGAATAGCATCAACAATGTTTGCATTTATCTTTGAAATGTTTTAATCATTGATTAAACAACTACTAATATTTAAAGTCATTAAAAAAGTTAAACTGAATTTTATGTGTTTTCATTAAATTACCAAAGTATAGGATCAGGACTAGGAACAGAAATTATTTCGGGTTGTTTTCGATAATTTTTATCATTACTAATAACTTAGTTGACCCATATCCAGTGTTTTCATGAGTTAGTAAGATTAATAATTGTAGAAAGTATTATGACAATGATTTTAAACCTTTATCAAACTTCAACTTTTTAAAGTCAAATTTTAAGTTCAATTAAGATTTCAAAGGTGTACTAAAAAAAAAAAAACATTAATTTAAATGAACTAATTAACTATATAAATTGCCAATAGCAATAATTCCCTAGCCCTTTTAATAAGGTACTGACGTATAAACTTATCAAATAATGTTAATTTAGAGAATTATAATTCTTTGAAACAGACAACATTTATGGTAAAAGTGCCTCATTTAAAAAGAGCTTATTTTGGTACACAAATGTTTGTGATTTTCATTTATGACAATAAATGAAAAGCGAGTTATGAGCCCATCATAAAATAGTGTGTTATAATTTAATAGTTTAATTTGTCATTGTAAGCAAAATCAGATTAGTAACGCAAACCAACAAGAAAATTTTAATAAGCCTTCTTTATACTTATTGTTTCATAAATATTTGTTTTGTCAGCATCGGCTAAATAAGATAATAGTCCGATAAAAATTTCTTAAATTACATAGACAAGAGCATAGAAATCACATACCAAGATAACACTAATAAAGAGTGTACATAAGGATTTATTTTACACTTCCCGTAGAGTAGGAAATTTTTAAGTTGCGGCATTATTTACTTTTTTACATATGTTTTTACGATCCTCCTTCTGTTTTTAAATGATTGTATTTTGAAAACACGTTTGTCGTTAGAACTCGATGTTGCCCGTATTTCCCCCTTCTAAAGAATTTTTATAACAGAACCTGAATGTATTACCGTTTCTGCCGGACCTTGTCGTGTCCAGTATATTTTATCTTAGTTCGTTGCAATAATCAACGTAAAAAGATAAAACTATTATCAGTCACTGTTGGTATATGTGGTAGCGTATGGTAACTGGTAGTATCACAATTAACGCATACTCACATTCAGAACACTTAAGACGGCGGCTTATTATCATGACAAAATAGATCTATTTTGTCATGC